GAATGAATTGATAGAGAATGCGAAATAGTGTCCCATCACGTTTAAGGAAAAATCATCCTTGAGTAACTTATGCCAGTTCACGCAGCCGTCACCTCAATGAGATAAAAAATATTTCATGATGTGAATGACATTCATTGTCACATTTCTGTCAGTCACTCCAATAACACCATTCCATAACTGTTCGGTTTCATATCAAAAATTCTCGTTAAATATGTCTCAACCACCTCCAAATAGATTTGGTTTCCAAAAACCAAACACCGTTACAGTAACTTCAACTAGAACAATCAGAATACCAGGAACGAATACCACCAGAACTGAGGTGAATACAACGGTAACAGATGTGAGTACATGCCCATCAAAAAAGGTTCGTCAACCCCAAGTTTCACGAATTGCTGAGCCAACAAGCTTTCGTCAGCAACAAAGTATTAGGTCTGTACCTGCTCCTACAAGTGTTCGTCAGCCTCCTACTAGCCCCACATCCGTTCAAGCCTCAAGAACCCTCACCGCTCCAAATAGTTTTCGTCAACCACCAAGTGGGAGGATATCAGCTGCTCGAACAAGTTCTCTTCAACCGAGTAGATTACCACAGCAGCAGAGAACTGGTATTCCCGCTCGCGCATCAAGACTTCCTTCTCAAATCAAAACTTCTGCTGCAGCACCTATACCAACAGATGCACCTCGTACTTCTTCTATCATTCCCGGTGTTGGAGCATCATCTTTCCTACCAGACGTATCAGAAGTATTTTCATCAACTCTCAAACCTGGTCAAGTGTCTCCTTCACAACGTACCTCAAAAATTGCTAAATATTCCATGAGACAGCAACAATCAAAAGATATGAATGCTTCCAAACTTCAAGCTCTTCAAATGGTACCCCAATCTATGAAAACAACTGAACAAACAATTCAACAAAGTCTTCTCGATCAGTCCATTATTAAACCAGGTGAAAACGTTTCTGCAAAGGGTAAAAAAATTTCAAAATTACGGCCATTATCTTTCAAAACTCCAGCTGGAAACGAGAAGGTTTTACAGAAGGCCGTTTCAGAAAAAAGGGTCGAAAGAGATTCTGAAGGAGAAAGAATAGTTAAGAATGTGGAGTTTTCCGATTTGAATGAGGTGACTGGACAAATGGAACAAGTAGAAATAGGAATTCAACAATTGAACCCCGAATTCAAAATGACTGAGGGAAAAGATGTCGTGGGGGTAACTAGCACAGTGGTTGTAACTCCTTCTTATACAACTATCTCGAAAGAAATTTTGCGTACAGTAACGGAGCCTTTAGATAGTGGAGCGGCCATGAATCCAGCTCTTGTTGCACAACTGATAGAAGAAGAGAAAGAAGACGTAGACAATACATTAAAGATGATTCAACCCGATATGGTGCTATCGCCAGGGAACTACGAGAAAAAGCAAAAGTTACAGCAACTCAGAATCAACCCTGAATCGATAGCTCTCTTAGAAGAGTCTATAGTTTATCCTCAGCCCTGTGCTGATGAAGCTCAAGCTGAACTGAGACCAGAGGCGATGGCTACTGTGATGTATTCAGTGGAGAAAGGGGCAAGCCCTGACGTCAACCCAGAACAGCTGTTCAACTCGCTATTCAAAGAACCTTCTGATGAACAAATAGTTCAACTGAGTTCCGTTACTCCTGGACCATTGCGGGATGTAGTTGTTCCAACTGAAAAAGTGCCACAGGCCATTCACGGATCTATTATCAGTGAGGACATGGTTAAGCTAGCGAACAGATATGAAGATGTGTCCGAAAATGTTCCTTACGTTGATATATTCACTAAAGTAATGGAGGAAATGAAAAAATCGCCAGAGAAGGGAAAAAATAAACCAAGAAGTTTTCGACCAATTGAGGATGAGAAGTCATTGTGGGTCAACGCCAATATGGAACATCTAGTCAACGTAGTCGGAGCTGAACCAGTAGATGTGCTAAATGCGGCAGATGTAGATGAATTGAACAATTCGGGTGTTCTAGAAAAGGAAATGGCTGAGGGAGTCGACTACTTTTTAGAGAGTGATCCTCTCCAATATTCAAATAGGGTACAACTTCGGGGTTCCCAGCATCCCAGTTATTTTCCGGGATACATAGTTGTATCACCAGAACTGCCAGAAATGGTTCAAGTTGCCAAATCCCCAGATGAAGTATTCGCTACTGCCTGGAAGTCTGTTCAGCCAAAATATTTCGGAGACGATTCATTGTTGTCGCGAAGCACGCTCATGTAAAGAATTTGAAAGTTAAATTCTGACCCATGGCGGGGCTTTATATATTTTCATCTCAATAAATATTTCACTGGCCCATTCCCTTTAATTCTATTAGAATGGGGTAGTATCATGGAAACATAATGATGATAGTCTTTTGTTTCGATAGTAGAAAATAAATTCTTCTTGTATTGTTTTGTTAGGGGGCTGTCACTGTCGCATTGTATCGGATCTTAGTGAGCTTTAAGAATTCAGTAACAGTTCTTGTGCATCTTTCTAAGAGATTGGCTACTAAAGGTATTGTTATTGAATTATAACTGAAACTACTGAAATTAGCAATGCGAGAGTTCAGAAGATATCAATATTAAATTATTGAATCGAGAATGATCACTATTTGGTAATACTCAAATGTAATAGTGCAGGAGACTACCGATTGTGAGGTTATTTCACCTAATTCTCGAAAGCATGCAATGAACTGGAAGTATTCATCAGGGTTCGTGCTTCTCACGTAGATCAATATACAGGCCGTTTTATCATGTGGTTACATTGCTATATTCTAAACCGTAACAGATACGAAGACGATTAAATGGGAAAAAAGGTGAAAGGTCATCGGAAACAATACAATAGTCGAAGAAAATTTACGGGGACTCTCGCCCTTCTCAAGTTATACGGGGAAAACAAAAAATACTGTTTTTAATTTTTTTCAATTGGAATTGTTATTTCAGAAAATATCAAAAAAAGAAAAAAATGTGTACCATGACGATATTTATTCATTTATTTATTAACAATATAGGGGTTACAAACAGATTAACAAATCCAATAGAGAATCCACTTTATAATTTTAGTTCAAGTGGGCTTTGAGAAAAAAGAATGTACATTATAATTTTTTGTAAATTAAATTGGACATAATTCTTATAAGAGTGACAGAGACTACAGAAATGATCACAACTTATCAATGACATTTTTTTTTCATCCTGCGTTTGAAACAGTTTAAAGAGATTTCAAAATATTGAATATCATCGCAAATTTCGTTGAAAGTTTTAAGCATTCTATAAAGTGGTGAATTTTGAGCAGCATTTGTCCACGTCCAAGTTAACTCAAAGAATTCTGTACGCCTCAACGTTCTACCCTGAACATTGAACTCAATGAATAAATAAATAAATAAGGCTCTGGGCAGTGGACTAATCCTTTCATCAAATTGAAAGTCATGATAAGATCCGTAACAGTTCTTCTATCCTTCATGGGCATAATATTGTATTGGCGCATAATGGGACTGTAATCGCTATTCCTGATTGGAAAATTCAATTTGTGAATAATGTAGCGAAGAAATTTGGTTTGGACTCTCTCAATACGATCTATGTTTATGTGGTACTTAGGATTCCAAACAACCGATCATGTCAGCCTTCTTGGGAATCTAATATATAAAGTGTGAAAGCCCATTTGGCCAAGGTTTTATGAAATCAAATTTCAAGTTATGAAGAATTCAATACTGTTCTCGTACAGATCGAAGCTCTTCTCAATTCGAGACCCTTGTATTCTTTAAGTAATGATCCTACCGATCCAATAGCTATAACCCCCGCACATTTTTGTATAGTTCCCCACTGAAATCACTACCAGTGGAATATTGTCTGAACGAAAAGATCGACCCTCTGAACAGATTCAAATTATTAGACTCTATAGTCTGGAAGCGTTGGCACGTGGAATACCTTTCAATGCTTCATGTTCGGCAAAAATGGAATTCTCCGTCTAATCCTATAGAAGTCGGTACGATTGTCATTATCATTCAGGATAATATTCCTCCATTACAATGGCCATTGGCTGATATCGAGAAAACATTCCCAGGCAAAGATGGGATAATAAGAGCGGCGCTTGTACGAACGAAAAATGGTTCTTACACTCGCCCAACAGTTAAACTTTGTCCTCTACCCAATCAGTAGGGACACATCGTTCGAAAATTTCACTTGTAAATATGTATATTTTTGCTTTTGTTTGGTNATAAAATAGTTTTAACACTCAGAAAGGGATATAATGTGTTAGCGATATTTCATACGAAGTGAAAATCTGATATTGTTGCTTTATCCACAGGTTGAGCCAACCTATGCTGATATCAAGGCTTCTCACATTGTACGATGGAAACCAAGTTGCAGAAAACCAGAAATATCTGTATAAATACTCAGGACTTATTGTCCTGTCGTTATTAATAAATGTGTTCCTTATACACACCTTCCAATTTCAGATTATGCAAGTGAGCATGAAGATAAGAATTGCATGTTGTTCTCTCGTGTACAGGAAAGCTCTCAGATTGAACAAATCCGCTCTTGCTGAGACCACAATCGGACAAATAGTCAATCTACTGACCAACGATGTGGGAACATTTGATCAGGCTATCCATTTTATGCACAATTTGATAATAGGACCTATAGAGACGTTGGTTGTTATGATTTTGTGTTATTTCAGTATTGGACATGTAGAAACTGATTTTCATTTGAATTTATGATATCGATAGTTTTTTGCAGATACTCTCAAAAAAATATAAAACTATTGATCACTTAAGAGAAATTGGCCCGATTTCCAAAAATTAACCATTGTTGAATATCTAGTCTCTTCGAAATCTCGTTGAAGTCCGCATTGTATAAGAGTTATCCTCCATTTATTTTGAAGACATTTCTCATTTGTGACGAAACAGAAAAATATCTATTCTTTCAGAAAATCCGTCAACAAACATGCTTATAACTAGCGGGCAAAAATATCTTTTCGGAAGAGTAAATATTGAAACAGCAAATAATGGAATGTTCAATTTAGAAATTTTCACTTCAGTTAAAAGCACTTAGGTGACGATCAAGTAATTAGTGGGACTGTGATATCTTGTGAGTGTTTGTGACGTATATAAAATAATTGAAGTGAGTAAGGAACGCTGCTAAAAAAATTTAGTACGTAGAACTGTGATAAATGATATCATCATTGTACAATGATATGCGTTTTACTCTGTTTGTGAAATCAAAAGTGCCGTGAGACTGGAATGATTCTAGATATTTCGTAAAATATTTTAGTTATCGACAGATGACTCTCAGAAATTGTTTATGAATACTTTTTCGATTTTCTCGTAATTGTTGAAAAAAGAACTGTATTTGAAAATTCAAAAATATTGAATTGTTGAAAAAAAACTAAAAGGCTGCGAAATCAAACTGAATTTTGGTAATCAAAAAAATGTATTTCAAGGTATCTGTATTCCCTTGGCTCTTGAAAACATGAAAACATAAAAACAACGAATAGTTTATTTTCTTGATTGCTTCGTATTATTTTTTTTATTCTCCCGAATAAATGAGCCCTAGTTTTCTATATTTTTTCTTGGCTCTATTGACACTTGCCAATCATACTCTTTGAAGAAAGCTTCACACTTTGGGTGTCAGCTCAGGCTTCTTGGAAAGTCGTTTTGACCTCGTCAGCCTTAGAAATGGCTAAAGAGATCGAAATTCCAGAGAATACTTGTGTCTCATCAATTGATTTAGATGTTTGGATAGTCGTATTTTTCGGCTCAATTTTCTCGATGAAAAAGCATAAACTCACTATATCTGACTAGAAATGTTTGCTTTCGTCAGGCACTGACGCTGCAAAATTTCTTTACGCCTGCTAGATAATAGTATTCATTATCTTGGTTAGCAATGAATTAAAAATGTTGAATACACACAGAAATCACAATGAAAGTCTAATATTTGTTGAGGGCTTGACATATCTTTACAATATCGAAGGAAAGTAAATATAAAATAGTTACCATTGAAGTATTGTCTGCTATTTTCTGTAATTTAACATTGAATGGTTGTTCAGACAAGGTACGTAAGTTGTGAGTTTTCATAATTCATTTATATTCATGTGTTATCACACAGTCATTCAAATATTTATTTGGTAATGCTTTCATTTTTTCGATATCTTCGTTCATTTCATTTGAATAGAAAATCGTTCAAGAAGTAGTAGCCTCACTATATTCTAGAAAGACCTATTTGTTAGGTGGACGTCCATGAAATAAGTGTGTTTGCGTTTGTGTCTAAAACTTATGCACACAGTTCACTGCCTGAAAAGATTAAAGAAGATTCCAACGAGGTCATTTTATTATCTCATCTCTACTCTCGTGCAAGGGCCTAGCCAGGACTGTTTATAGGTGGAGGACAGACAAAGAAAATTCTAGATTATATTGTTTTTATCGTTGTTTTCAACATATGAGTTTCACATGAGCAGTGTAAGTGGTACGTCACCCATATTTGGAATAACGCAATCGAGAAACATGGAGAATCAAGAGCTATTGCGCTTGATATTTCTTTGACCTTGTGTGGCATGAGGGTTTGTGCTAGCCAAACTTTGGAGCTATGGCTTGTTGGATCATTTCTGTGTATGGCTCTCCAGCTTCTTAAAAAATGTGACCTGCAAGTGGCAGTCGATGAATATCTCTCAAATACTTTCAGCATCAACGCTGGTGTTCCCCAGGGATCCACATTATCTCCAACCTTCTTTTTATTGTATTTCCTAGACTTATTGGAAAACACCAAGAATCCAATATATTGCTTTGCCGACGACAGCACAATTGTCTCATGCCATTTGTATTCCAGGACATCGGTTATGAAGGCACATCTTCACAGACAGCAGGATGTTGCATACCTCAATAAGGATCTAGGAATGGTGAAAGAAACCAGGTTCAATTTGATGCCACAAAAATCCATGCATCGGTTTTCTCTAAGAAGATAAATGTCTCCAAACCGAATATAATAATGTAAGGTCAGACAATTCCGCTTTCTACTTTGATAAGTTTGCTGGGGGTTAAAATGGACACCAATATGTCTTCGCACAATCATGTCGCTAGAATTGCAAAGGCTGCTTTTCAGCTAAAAGACTATACACACCTCAGCCCCTTTTTATGCTTCATGAAGCTCAGATCAGACCGTCTTTGTAGTATCGTTCTTAAGTATGGAGCTCTGTCCCCAAACATACTCTGAACTTGGTGGATTCTATCCTTCTGATTGGAGAAACGAACATCACGTGCAACCTTGATAGTCTGAAACATCGAAGGAAGGTTGGAGATTTGTCTCTCTTCTATAGATACTTTCAGGGGAGGTGTTTCAGTTCCACCGAGAATGGTACATATCAGTAATACGCGACGGACTGAGGCTGCTCATAATTTTGAGGTTCGACTCAGTACACTTCGAACTCCACTGTTTAAGAATTCTTTCATTTGGAGAACTGCGTTTATGTGGAATAAACTTGAGGTGCTCTGAGAGCACCTCAAGGATTTTCCTGCAGTGCTTGTGTTTTGTCCTTGAAAAAAATTGATTGAAATCAGAAATAGCTTTATCACTCGACAATAAATCTACGAGGTTCTTCACAAAATCTTTTCAAAGCTTCTCGTACAGTTTCATCTTCCTCTTCTTCAATCCAGTGAACGCTCAGCATACATAAAACGTTTGAACGAGTTTCGTCATCGTAGACCGCAACCACGCAATCGCACGTTTCACAAATCACCGTCCGAAAATTAAACGAATTCAGCTTTGAAGTTCTGTCTCACCCACTATACTTTCCAGACCTTTCGCTACCCGACTTTCCTAGCACTTCGATAACTTTCTCANGGGAAGTTTTCAAATTGACACACTGTAATTTACAATTCTGAATGGTTTGTCAGAAAAAAAATATAACCTACAGTCGTTCAGTTAGTGTTAATGCAGAAGAATATACTTGTAATCTTCAAATTATATCTAATTTTTAATTGGTGCTTTTTTATTCACAGAAAAAATGGAGGAGGTGAAGGCAGACGAAGGAGACAAAAAGAAGAATCCCTATGATAGAGCCAACTTCATTTCAAAGTTATTTTTTCTGTAGGTATCTGAGAATTTAGTGAATATTTATTCTTGAAAAACATTTTTGTGAATGTTATGGGATAGAAAGGAATTGCACTCATACCAAAACGATTTTTCAGTAACTTTCATTACTGAGGCTGAAATTTCAACTTCATAGAAACGTATGGAACATTAAAATATTTCTATAACGTATTAGGATCTTATAACTGTTTACGTGCAGTAACATGTTTATTTTCACAATTGTGAATCCAATTGAAAAATCAGGTGGCAAAATTCAGATCATGATTTACATTTGGTTGAAGTTTTGAAATGTTTGAATTGTTTTGCAAGTTTTCTACACTATTATGCTCTGATATGTGAGTGAAGTATTGTCAACCCATTTGATTTTTGTATCATGATTTCTAAAATCTAAATTATGCAGTATAATTAGAAATGCAACATGTTACCATTTAATATAATAAATATAGTTTCAAAAACTAAAAAACACGCTCTTGAAGAACATCGAACTGAAAAGTTAGAAATATTTTTTTGTCAAATAAGCTTAAAACAATAACGAATGAAAAATACTACAAGCGACGGGCGTTTGAACAGGTATTGGAGAGTGGTGCGGAGTATTTTGTTACATTCTGGTGAGTAGATGACTTCACAACTACTGTACTTCTTAGCGATTGTATATAATGTATTGAACTGAGAGATTCAACAACACGTTGATCTCATACAGTCACTTGAACATATTCACTCCATTCAAATATTTTATAAGAATTATGCTTCGGTCGGTAGCCAGGTGGTTCGACGTGGGTGCTTTGTTCACTCACTCGAATTGACTGCCGTGTTGGTCGGTGGTTCAAGCCCTAGTCTAAACGATCGATTTCAACTTGCAATCGTTCAACCCGTGTTAGGAATCACACGTTAAAAGGTAAGGCCTCGTTAATCCTCAGCTCACACAAGTTTCGACTTTTGAGGGTTGTCGTTCGTAGGAGTGCGACAGCTGGTTAACGGAAAAACAGATTTTAAACAGATTTAAACAGATATTCAAAATGTCCTCAACGAAGGTTTTTGCACAAAGGAAATTTATTACTTATGTAACTTGCATTTATCAATTTTGATTATCAAAAAACTGAGAAATGAAGCAGATGCTTATCTTGAAGTTTCAGAGGCTGAAAGTGAATTGAAAAAAAGATCGAATGTAACTGCATTCTTTTCCTTTGACACGCCTAATTTTTGAACTTCTTTGACAGTTATCAAGAAGAAATCGATGAAAATCTCTATATTTCTTCACAAAAACTATGTTTTGTTCAATATATTCAGATTACATTCAAAGTAACCAAAGCAATTTTCTTCCTAGAATCATTNGGAGATAATTCAAAAAATACTTTTATAATCACAGTATGCCACTGCTTGGTTGTAATTTTTTTCATATAATTATTCATCTATAGTAATATAATAATCAAAAGTTAAATTTAAAACTTATTGAGGAAACAAAAAAAAATAGATATTAGACAAATATTATTTTCTCTATAATATATTCAATATCAATTTCCACAAAATGAATAGTTCATCAATCGAACAAACTGTTATTCAACGTAGGACATTCATTTCTGTTTGGTGGTTCCGATATATACCTTCCCACAAGTGCGCGGTATGGGATAGACCCCTGCTGCTGATAATGGGTCTGTTTTGTCTTCAGCCGACCTGAGGCTTTGATGTATCTTCCTCATGGGTTTGAAGACTGATTCGATGTCGTGTTTGCCCAATAGTTTTATCTTCAAGTGTAGGTTCTAGTGTAGGTATGAGTTCAGGTACAAGTGCAGGTACAAGTACAGGTACAAGTACAGGTACAAGTACAAGTACAAATTCAGATAAAAATTCAGGTACAAATAAAGGTACAAATACAACTGAGTACCTGACAAGGCATAAATACGCTTTACGAAGCCTAAAAGGTAGTCATCGGACAGAAGGCCATAATGGTTAAACCTCTGAAGAAGCTAGCTACTTGCGCCAGCGAAACGTCTGGAAGAAATTTCAAAAATCCACGGCTTTCAAACTCGAAAAGCAATGACACTGTAAAGGATTGTATTTCTATTTTGTGCAATTTGAGTTCATTGTAATGCGGCTGATTATCTGAACTGGGTGAAAAAAGTAATGTATATAATTTTTCTGTCATTCAAACTCAATAATTAATAATCAGCCCAAAAAGTCAATCGATGCAAGATCACGATGAATAAACCTCTGAAGAAGCCAGACACTCGTGCTGGCGAAACGTTAGGATACAGTTTCAAACCACGACGGCCTTCGAACCCGAATGAAGATCGTTACAGCAGAAAACATTTTTCTCATGTTAATTTCAGAAGTTTTGGAGCCTTCAGTGTTACTATCTTTATTCGGATTTGAAGACCGTCGTAGTTTAAACGGTCTTCAAACCCAAATGAAGATAGTAACCCTAAAAATCTCGGCCTCAAAAGCCTTAACCAATTTTGTAGCCTACATCCCAATTTTCACCAGTGAAGATCATGAAATATCAGTGAAGATATGACCGTCAAATTCATTATTCCGCGTTATTGCGTTCATGTAAACAAGAAGAATATCGGGTCAAGTACTGTTTCTTGAGGTATACCTACCCAATTATTTCGAAAATAACGGTTGTCACAATCGGCGTCACGATTGAAGAGAATAAAATCCGGGCTGGCAGGCAGTGGTCGATTGGAACCTAAAGTGCCAAACGTTTCGTCTGCTACTGCGGCAGCCATCATCAGTGTCATATGCGTAGATTATGAGCCTGAATGTTATATCTCGAAGTCCCAGCAATGACTGAAAAAGAAACGATGATGACGAAGACTTTCGTTGAGGAAGCGATAAATTGTTTCTTATAGTCAGATTTCAGATTTTTATAGATATTCCAATGATGATTATCTCTGCTAATATTACAAATGGATTTTATCTCAGTTAGTTTTTTTCTCATTTCTTTCAGCGAGTTGTTATACCACAATATTGGAGGTTTATCGTTTCCAGTAATTTTTCTCAAGGGAAATATGTTTTCAAAGTTTGCCGAGTAAGACTCAACCATAAAATTTGTAAGGAAATTTACGTCCCTGTTTTTAAAGTAAATAGTTCAATCTATTATCGATAAGTTCTTTCTTAGTTCCGTAATCCCTTTGTCTGTGACACATCTCTGTAGGGTAACGCCAGAAAGTCTTTCCGGTGTATTCAGGTATACAAAATACTGACCTGTACGGTCTGACAGGCAAGGTTCTATAACCCCAGATTCATAACACTGGTGATCAACATTTGTTAAGATATTGTCAATGCATTTTGTCGAATGTGATGTCATTCTAGTGGATTCACTGATGGTTGTTGTTATTATAAAAGAATTGAGCAACATATCCAATTCTTGTAAATTCTTGTAAATATGTAAATATGGCACAAAGCGCCATAATTTGAAATATCCTTCATTAGTTCAAGAAACTATGAAAGTCCCAGTATTGATTCTTGTGGGACTCCAAAATAACGATTTTTTCAGTGCCCTTCATTCAGTGCCATTTTTTCAAAGTTTTCTTTCAAGTCTGCTATGGACCACTTTGGAACAAATATTTCCAGTGATATGAATAAAATGAATGCGAAAAAAGTTATAAAAATTCGAAACATACAAACACGTGGTTATATATTTCGTTTTTCACGAAAACCTGAATTTTTCAGATTTTTATTACCCTACTTTGTGAAAGGCTACAAAAGGGAACTGACCGAAGATGATATGTATGGTCATCGACATAAACACGATTCCGGAAAGCTTGGAGAGAGATTGGAAGCAGCTTGGCAGTACCAGGTTAAGCACAAAAAGAATCCTTCACTCATCAAAGCTCTCTGTAGCATATTTCTTTTTGAAATCTTCATGCTCTGGATCATTGTATTTGCTGCTGAAATAATCAGGTGAGGATTTCCAAGCAAAGGTGGCCGAGGAGTTCAGAAATAACTGAAACAAAGTCATTTTCCGGTTTTTTTTGGCCGTGATCTACATGTTTCCATGCCTGAGGTATTGTCCACCGCACTTGTAGACAAACCGACTCGCTCAAACACCTGCAGATCATAGTCAAAAACTTAGAAAATAGTTTTGACACTTACAAGTGGAGAGAATATTTGCGCGATATTTCATACTTATATTGTTGCTTCATTGAACATTATTTTGTCCACAGGTTGAGCCAACCTATGCTGATATCAATGCTTCTCACACTGTACGATGAAAACCAAGTTGCAGAAAACCAGAAATATTTGTATATATACTCAGGACTTATTGTCCTGTCACTATTGATAACTGTGTTCCTTATGCATACCTTCCAACTACAGATTATGCAAGTGGGCATGAAGATGAGGATTGCATGTTGTTCTCTCGTGTACAGGAAAGCTCTCAGATTGAACAAATCCGCTCTTGCTGAGACCACAATCGGACAAATGGTTAATTTGCTGTCCAACGATGTGGGAAGATTCGACCAGGCTACCCATTTCATGCACCATTTGATAATGGGACCTGTGGAGACATTGGTTGTTATGATTTTGTGTTATTTCAGTATTGGATACACCGGACTGATAGGAGCTGTATTTCTGTTAGTTTCTGTTCCATTTCAATGTGAGTAAAAGTAAGGTGTTTTTTCTGTGGAAGCTCTGTTCGTGAATCTCCTCTGTTGACTCTAAATAACGAAAGAATCCGACCCTGAGTCCACAGAGGGGATGGACATCAGACGTCGATTAAACTTACACCAAGTGACTTCCATGTTGAGCTTCTGAGCTGTGAAACTCTTGATGCTGCTAACAATTCAAGTAGACTAGATTTTGCAGCTAGGGAGCGATTCAGTCGCCTCCTCAAGAGTAGTTTATCTCACATGCTGCCTTGCAGCAGAAGTAGAATCTGTATTGAGAGAGAAACATACTTTTCCCAAGCAGGTCAACAAACCTGCTTGAACAATTATTATTTTTTTTTTAAATCTGTTTTAAAATCTGATTTTCCGTTATTCAGCTGTCGCCCCCATACGAACGACAACTGCCANTCCAGCTTCAACCAGATAAATTCTCCCGAAAAATATCTGGTCCAGGCGGGAATCGAACTCACGGTCTTCCTATCGTGAGTTGGGCGCACTACCACCGCGGCCAAAACCAGAAACTGAATTTAATGATCAGGTATAGTCACTGAGGCTGACATGGAGGAATTTCCAAAAGATGGTTCACAGGTACAATTCTCGAGATGAACTTTTCGGCCTTTATGACTACAGGTTACCTCAGCGGGGCAGATGAGCGCCTGCTTACCAGTGTGCACAGTTAGTACCTGTGCAGACATAGAAGGACACCCCCCTGGAAAACGACATAGAATACCTACTTCGACACATTGTGTTGGCTACTGACTAAAGTGTTCAGTGAGGACCTCAGAACAGGTCCTTACTGCACAAGATTTTAGTGTATTGTCTGTCACCCTTGGAGTAGATATTGCAAGCCTTCTCAGAACTCAAACTCTGTACCTGCTTTTCATTGGACCGGATCAAGTTTCCAGTATCTGTCTTGTCAGTTGGCTGGATTCATTAGATTGTGTTTTAATCAGATTGCAACCAGCATATTTTTTGTAAACCTTGAGAGAAAATGTAAAATTTATATTTTGCATGATTCTATACCAAATAGTGCCTTTTGCTGTTATGGAAATGTAATATTCAGTTATACCTCAATTTAGTTTTTTAAATTTGAAATGATAATTTAGAAAAGTGTGTTGAAATGAGATAGTCATTTTTGGAAGTATTGATATTTGTGGGGAAAAAAACGTCATATCAAGCAAATCGTCAAAACGCCTTTTCTCCCAAAATCTGATCCCTCCTAGAATGTTTTCTTTTTATGCTTTCAGCTTTGAATATATGAAGGTAAAACTGAAAACTCTGGCATAGAATAAATCCAAAACAAGCACTTTTACCAATCACAAGAAATAGTAGGGGAGTAGGGGAGGGTCGGGTAAGTTGACGACGTTAACATGAAAAAAATAATTTCAGCTTGTCATTTGAATTATTTTCAAAATTGTTTATTTATATACGATGATAAACATGTAGATACGACCAGCCTCAAAATTGTATTTATCTCGAAGTTTTCGAAGGATGTAAAAAAATTTCTCAACTGAAATTTTGTTGAAACCCATAAGACGTCCTATCGATGTAGGCTCGGGAGTTCTGAGACTTATTTTGAATTTCATCTGAAAAGACTTTATTCAGTCTTTGCCAGCCATTTTTGATGATTTATTGAACCGATGTGAAATTTTGTTCTGCTCTGAATAGTCAAATGCTAGTCTTCCGAGCTGAACTTTAGTAAGCTCGAAAGCTCTTCTGTCGATATCTGTTATATAGTTGACAAGAGGCTGACTTTGATCTGAACTGCAAGTATTGTGGTATCTTTCACCATGTTCTGGAAGTGCTCCTTCTCGATGTTTCTTTATATAGCGTCTTAAAGTTGCCTCGGGGATATCGTAGCGTGACGCAGCACTTTTGCAAGATTCACCACCATCCACTGCCTCCAACGCTGCAATCGAACTCACTTCGCTCCAGGACCACCTTTCAGACCACTTTGTATATTTTTGTGGCATTCTGTAAAGTTAAACGAATTTACTGTGTGAAACTTTGTGCATGGGTAAGATGACGACCTTGTTGGTGCGGTAAGATGACGAAATTCGTCATCTTACCGCACCATCTCATCCGTTGAGGTTATATTTGAAGCCGGAGAGCATATTTCCACGACAAACATGATACCGATAATAATTGTAGTGACATGCTATGGAATACATTCATTACTAGCAATTGAGCACAATCAAATACCTTCAACAATTGGTTAGGATGCTTATTCAACACAATGGTTATTTGAATTGAAGGGGTTATATTTTTAGGAGTGATTAATTTTTGGGAAAGGAAGTTTTTGGCATTCTACTACTCCATCTGATACAAAAAAAAGGGATGAGAGAATCTTCCAAAGAAAGGAAGGAAGGAATCAATTTGAAAATAAGTAACTCTATACATATACTATATATATAATGTTACCATTCATTTAAAGTAGAACTGCTGTGAATGATATCTGATTTTATTCCACAACGAATGTTTGAAATACAAACTGAGTAGAGAAAAGTATCTTCTGTATAATTCAGTGTTCATATAAAAGTATTTGTTTCGAAAGAATTTTTCTCTTTCGTGTAATTCAATGGTTATATGGAAGTAGCTGTTTCAGGAAGGCTTTCTTCCAGTTTGTATCTGAAAGTTTCTTCTTTGCATGATCTACACATCCATGTATAGAGTTACTCATATTCAAATTGATTTCTTCCTTCCTTTCTTTGGAAGATTCTCTCATCCCTTTTTTTTGTATCAGATGGAGTAGTAGAATGCCAATAACTTTTTTTACCAAAAAACAAAAAACCATGGGTATGTACACTCATTTCCACTGTAGCTGAAAACTGTTCCGCAGCGTTGTAGGGTTGCGTTCCTAACTTAATTCCATTAATGTTGGCGAGATAGCGGCACCATGCAGAAAACCCTCATTGTTCCTTTTGAATAAATTACTAGCCGTTCGTCATCTTACCCACTTCGTCAACTTACCCGACTTTCCCCTATTGCATTTGAGGTGATTGAGTTCTTGTTTTGGAATAATTCCTTCAGTTTGAGAGGCTGTTTTTGGCCATTTGACGATTCATTGTTATTTTCAGCATGGCTTGGTAAAAAGACTTCCAAGTATAGGTTGAATACAGCTCTGCGTACGGATGAACGAGTACGTTTAATGAATGAGATAATTTCTGGTATACAAGTGATAAAAATGTACGCCTGGGAAAAATCTTTCGCCAAGTTGGTGGAACTAGCCAGAATGTAAGTAGTTTGCTCAAAAGTTGTTTTTTTTTGTTGAGTTTCCAATAATTTCAAGTTATAAGATGAAATGGATCCCAAAAATAAACTAATATTCTACACCGGATAGCGTTGTTTCGACCCGATACAGTTTTCAAAGGTACTAGACTGATTACAAATGCATTGCTGGACTCCAAAATATCGAACATTCTTTGTATTCCACACTTTTTCGTTGAGTAATACAGATTGAAATCTACCTCATTGTTTTCGATAGGAAATGGATTTATCGAGAGAGAAGCCATAGCCACTGCAGTAATTTTCAAATTCTTCAAACGCGTTATTGATTTTTTCGCTTGTTATACGATCACGGAGGTACAGAAGGGCTATATAGGGTCCTGCAACAGTGGCGCGGTGTTCCATATCTCTATTTAGCCGCCACATATGGATTTCACAGTGGAAATATCATTGATATCATAGCGATAAAATTGAAACAAGATTTCGCTTTGAAAAAAGTCTTTCATCAAGTTTATGGCGTAGAAATAGGAAGAACGACCGTTTTTCGAAAAAAATGCTTATTTAATTGGCGCTCCTTATGAATCGATAATATATATGGTGTTCCATTCAAAATAAGGAAGATTCTGGAAATATGTATTTACAATTAATATGTGGCAAGCAGTTTTTCATACCATGTATATCACAGGTCGATTTAATGTATATCGTTTGAGAGAGTTACCACTGTAAAATATTTGACCAAAAAAAATTCAATTGAGAATTCCACAACTTTATAATTTCAAATATTCTCCAGTGTCATATACTGAAATTTCAGATATATTTCATTGGCCGTTTTCACTCACAAGTTGAGGATACTAGATTTTTCCGGTCTTCGAAATCGAACATGTGCGACGTGTTCTTTGAGGCGAGTTTCGAAGGATTGCTGAGTCTGACCGATACATGTTTTATCACAGTCCCTACAGCTCATTCCATATATTCCCGAATTTTCATTTCCTGACATCTTGTCTTTAGGGTTACCTAACATTTGTTGAAGTGAGCAAACAGTTTTGAAGACTACTTTCATGTTCAACTTGGATCGCTTAGTAGTTGGTAGGTATATTTTTGGGAGAATCACTTTGGATACGTGGAATCGGCTTAAATTGTTCTGACTAAGCTAACAAAAAAGTGGTAAAAAACATAGAAAGTTTCAATTATCTCTTTTTCACCAAGTATGAAGTCTAAGCATTTTGATTTTATATACAGATAGGTCTATAGTGATGAAGGTTGCCTGTAGATGGATCAAAAACACCTTCAGGTTCTGGTGCAGGTGTTTTCAGTCCCAGATCCAGAAAAGAGTTATCTACCTGCCTAGGAACTTATGCGACTGTATTTCAAGCGGAAATTTACGCTATTAACTTGTGTGCGGAGAGATTGAATAAATCCAAACTCACTCACAAGTCAATAAGAATATTCTCGGATAGTCAAGTGGCGTTGGAAGCTCTTGGCTCCTACCGAGCAACGTCTGAATTGGTAGCAAACTGCCAAAAACGACTCTCCTCGATAGGAAGACTCAACAGATTGTCTTTGGTCTGGATTCCTGGCCATACTGGCCTGGAAGGCAATGAAGCTGCTGACTCTCTTATAAAGGAGGGGACTGCAAGCGGCTTCATTGGACCAGAACCTATCATTGGCATCGCTTTGGGCTTTGCCAAACAAACACTGAACACCTAGATGGCAAGAAGATTTATGGACTTCTGGCAGAATCTTCCAGGATTGGCTCACTCCAAGGCGTTTATTCACCCTTCGAAGCTTGTTTCCAAACAGTTGTCGGACTGCTCTATGGATGAACTACGATGTCTAACAGGTTTTCTTTCAGGTCTGTGTCATTTGAATCATCATATGCTATACATCAATAGAGTTTTTTTTGTTTTCATTTATAATGATACGTTGAATGTGTTTCTGTTTTTGAAGTTGTTCAACCTTATGATTTCACCGGATTATTGAGTGGTTCTTTACGATCCATTCGACGGACTTTCTCGAGCATTCATCTGAATTCATTGCTGAATCACCTTTTTTCTCAAAAGTGTTTTCAGTTTTTGATACTGTTGATATATCAGCCCGAAAGCTGTTACATGCTTACGAACATCCACTTTCGAAGGACATTAATAGTAATGAACCTAATTTTTCAGGAGGGAAATGAAGTTCATCCGTCTCACATCTACCATCAGAGCCATATTGATGTCATGTGCTATTGTTCTCAACAGAGGAGCAGTCTTCTGGTGTATCCTAGTTTATGTACTCACGGGAAACCCCCTTAACTCCGCTTATGTTTTCACAATGACCTCATTCTATCGACTTTTGAACACGATTACAATGTTCTTTCCCCAAGCAATTTCGCAAGTCTCAGAAATGTTCATATCTATTAAAAGAATCAGAACCTTCCTGATGTTCGATGAACTCGATTTTGGAACCGTCAATTCACTGAAAAGTATAACAAATGGAGTGAACAAAGATGGACTTACTACCGGAAGGAAAGATGTGGGAATTCGGTTGAACAAAGCTTCTGCAAAGTGGTTGAAATCTCTGCCAGAAAATAATTTAGAAGATATATCTTTGGATGTGACCAGCGGAGATCTTGTTGCTGTAGTGGGATCTGTAGGAAGTGGCAAAACTACCCTGCTCAACATGGTACTTGGAGAATTAGTACCTCAAGCTGGCACTGTCAAAGTGAAGGGAACCGTTTCCTACGCCTCTCAAGAGCCTTGGTTGTTTGGAGGCAGTGTTAGGCAAAACATCATCTTTGGGCAGGAATTTGATCAGAGGAAATACGACGAAGTTGTCAGAGTTTGTGCCTTAGAAAGAGACTTCAAACTCTTTCCCCACGGTGACAGAACTTTAGCTGGCGAAAGAGGTGTTACCTTGAGCGGAGGACAAAGAGCCCGGATCAACCTAGCCAGGGCGGTCTACAAAGAAGCAGACATCTACCTATTAGATGACCCATTATCAGCTGTTGATACCCACGTTGGAAAGCAACTATTCGATGAATGCATCTGCGAGTATCTGAGAGAAAAATGCGTTATTCTGGTGACCCACCAACTTCAGTACTTGAAAAATGTAAATAACATATATCTACTAGATTATGGAAAAGTTCTGGTATCCGGATCATATGATGAGATCAGAACTTCCGACACCAAGTTCTCCAGGATGTTGGCCAACTTGGAGGAAGAAGAGGAAGAGATAAGGAGGAAGTCCATGATATTGGCGGAGAAACAAGAAGAGCAACTCTTAGATGACGACGACCAAATACAAATTTTACAGAGGGAGGAAAAAGGAGTGGGAGGAATTTCTTGGCATGTTTACAAGAGTTATATGAAAGCCGGTGGAAATATTCTGAAAGTGTTTCTGTTATGTTCAGTTTTTTTACTGAGTCAGGTATTGGAGAGTGGTGCGGAGTATTTTGTTACATTCTGGTGAGTAGATGACTTCACAACTACTGTACTTCTTAGCGATTGTATATAATGTATTGAACTGAGAGATTCAACAACACGTTGATCTCATACAGTCACTTGAACATATTCACTCCATTCAAATATTTTATAAGAATTATGCTTCGGTCGGTAGCCAGGTGGTTCGACGTGAGTGCTTTGTTCACTCACTCGAATTGACTGCCGTGTTGGTCGGTGGTTCAAGCCCTAGGCTGAAAGAGATCGATTTTAACTTGCTATCGTCCAACCCGTGTTAGGAATCACACGTTAAAAGGTAAGGCCTCGTTAATCCTTAGCTCACACAAGTTTCGACTTTTGAGGGTTGTCGTTCGTAGGAGTGCGACAGCTGGTTAACGGAAAAACAGATTTTAAACAGATTCAAACAGATATTTAAAATGTCCTCAACGAAAGTTTTTGCACAAAGGAAATTTATAACTTATGTAACTTGCATTTATCAATTTGGATGATCATAAAACTGAGAAATGATGCAGATGCTTATCTTGAAGTTTCAGAGGCTGAAAGTGCATTGAGCGCCGGAGCTGATCCGTTCTAAAGATGAACAGATGTAACGGGCGTCCTAAATACGCAATATACCGGGTGTCTCGAACATGATTGCGTTAAAAAAACATTACAATTTAACGGGGTCTAACGTTTCGAAGTTCGATCCCAATGAAAAATGTATACAGAGTGTTTTGAAAATATATTGTTGAAGAAAAGAAACCTGACAGTTTAACGGGGTCTAGTGTTCCGAAGTTCAATCCCAATGAGGAAATTATACAGGGTATTTTTAAAATACCCAAAACATGTATACAGATTGTATATTTACAGAATTATTTGTTTCCATGTAACTGACAGTTTTGAAAGTAGTAGTTCTCTTATTTTCATGATTTTCCGAAAAAAAAAATCAATATCTTAGACACCATTCTGTTCTTCTCTGCTTGCTATACAATATTTTGAATTGCCTCTATGGGACGAAATTCCTGACTGATATTGAGACTGATTTCTTTCAATTCTTCCACTTTGAGAAATATTTTCAAAAGTAACTGAGAAGATTTGATTTTTCCTGGCTCCAATGAAAACTTTAGTTCATTCTTTTTCACAATGCACAAATATTAACAGAGGCAAGATTTAGAAAATCAAAATTTGTGCTATTTTATGTGTTTTCGATATCAATGGTGTATTTAAATAGGGTTTCCAAGGGGCTTATCTCCCCCCGAAATGTGGAAAGACAAAGAGCTGCATTAAAAAAAATATCAATAAAATCAATCATTTGAGAACTGTTATTCAACGTAGGACATTCATTTCTTTTTTCAATATACATATGTAAAATTTTTTAAATTTTCGGTCATAAGTCTTCTGGTGGCATATCAGATTTTATTATTAGTTTTCATAGTTTTCAATTCTAATGGGAGAAGGTTGAACAATTTGGACCATAATAAAACATGAATTTTGGGTTATGGCTTTTGTTGTAGAGTGATATTTTGATATTAAAATTCTGGAGTGCCCCGTTGTTGTTGAAAATCGAGAACATCCATATCATACTAGACACTGGTTACTGAATATTCTAACGTTAAGTAAATTAGTCTCTTGATATAGATGATCCATTGGAAAACGTCAATTTGAAAAAAATATAATTTTCAAAAAAAATTCGAAAGAATATCCTTGGTAATATAAAATTTACGCTTGGGTAGTCTCATTCTTTGTGTTATATATGGAACTTGTTTGTCCTATCTCATATGTCGGTTAATAAGACCCAAATATTTAAAGGATTTTATCAAAATGGTTTAGACTTTCACGGCTGAGGTTTTCAGTGTCATTGAAAGCCATGGATTTTTGGAATTTCTTCCTGACATTTCGCTGGCGCAAGTGGCTAGCTTCTTCAGAGGTTTAACCATCACGGCTTGCTATCCGATGACTACCTTTTAGGCTTCGTAAAGCGTATTTATGCCCTGTCAGGTAATCAGTTGTATTTGTACTGTATTTTTACCTGTATTTGTACTTGTACTCATACCTGCACTTGTATCTGTACTTGTACCTGTATTCGTACCTACACTTGAACCTGGAAAATTAACAATCTTACTGTCTGTTGTCCTGTTCGTTCTTCTAGAATTCCCTAAAATAGGGTTCCATATTCGATTGAGGTTCACCGCTTCTTATTTTCTGTTGAAATTCTCCGTGTGTTTGTGGATCTCTATTGCCTCCCGTACCAATCGTCTATGGTATCCCTGGTTGGGGGTAATTAGTTCTGTGTTTTCAAACAAAATTATGTGGTCTTCTTCACTGAGTGCGTGTTCTGCCACAGCTGACTTGTCTGTTTGGCCTAGTCTGCAATTCCTTTTATGCTCTTTTAGTCTTGTTCTCATGGATCGTTTGGTGGTTCCGATATATACCTTCCCTGTATGGGATAGACCCCTGCTGCTGATAATGGGTCTGTTTTGTTTTTAGCCGACCTGAGGCTTTGATGTATCTTCCTCATGGGTTTGAAGACTGTTTCGATGTCGTGTTTGCTCAATAATTTTATCTTCAAGTGTAGGTTCAAGTGTAGGTATGACTTCAGGTACAAGTGCAGGTACAAATTCAGATAAAAATTCAGGTACAAATACAACTGAGTACCTGACAAGGCATAAATACGCTTTACGAAGCCTAAAAGGTAGTCATCGGACAGAAGGCCATGATGGTTGAAGAAGCTAGCCACTTGCGCCAGCGAAACGTCTGGAAGAAATTTAAAAAATCCACGGCTTTCAAACTCGAAAAGCAATGATACTGTAAAGGATTTTATTTCTATTTTGTGCAATTTGAGTTCATTGTAATGCGGCTGATTATCTGAACTGGGTGAAAAAAGTAATGTATTCAGTGGCTCTCCCAGAGAAACACCACGACTAGCGCAGTCAAATTAATAGAATTTCGAAATATCACTGAAGAAACTACAAATCCATTAGATTCCTATGAAGACTGGTGGCTCACACCCGTTTTTACGTCAGATAATACCATCATTTACTACTCAGTTTTGATTCTTTTGTTGGTTGTAATAGTATTTACGAGATCTATATCCTTCTATAGATGGTGTATAACTGCTTCTACGAGATTGCACAACCAGATGTTTGATAACATTGTTTATAGCCCGATGAGATTTTTCACCATTAATCCATCTGGTAGAATCCTCAACAGATTCTCCAAAGATATTGGTGCGCTGGATGAAACATTACCCATGACACTTCTTGATACCATTCAGGTGAGCTCATCAATCAAATGTTTATCACTAACTACTCGAAAAAGTGATTTGGTAGAAATTATAATTGCTTTGCGGAAAAAAATTATGAATTTCTTATTATTTCTTCGCTTTATAACCTGTATTTCTATTGATCTTTCTTTAAGTTTGTTCAGATATTCATTCAGAATATTTTTTTCAGATTGCGATATCTGTCGCTGGCATATGCTTGGTGATTGGCTCGCTCAGTGTGTGGATTATGGTACCAACCCTTCTGATTGGCATTTTATTCTACTTTTTGAGAGTTATATTCCTGAGAACCAGCAGAGACGTCAAAAGAGTAGAATCAGTCAGTGAGTTATTTGAATTTCATACCTGCATTCAAAACCATATATAGTATATGTATTGGTAATAATTCAAAGAAAAAACTTTATTGAGATTTGGTACTAGTTCTTGGTAACTTGTTACAACTAATAACTAACGAAAATCAGAATATACGCTTGAAGCAATATGAATAAGAAATTATACAATGAGGTTTCTGTCTTGTTAGGAATCACAGGTTAAAAGTGAAAAAACTTTATTGAGATTTGGTACTCGTTCTTGGTAACTTGTTACAACTAATAACTAACGAAAATCAGAATATACGCTTGAAGCAATATGAATAAGAAATTATACAATGAGGTTTCTGTCTTGTTAGGAATCACAGGTTAAAAGATAAGATCTCGTTAGTCCTTAGCTCGCACAAGTTTCTCAACTTCTAAGAGTTGCTGTTCGTATGGGGGCAACAACTGATTAACGGAAAAACACATTTTAAACAGATTTTTCTTCCTTCAGCCATATCTGGGAAAAGTTGAGCAGACTCCCTACTGATAGAGACATCACTGTCGAATTGTTGAACGGTTTCCTCACTATTTTCTTGATATAAAGCAAGAAAGTAGTACCAGTGCTCAACCTTTTGATTAACGGAGGCACAGGCGCAGGTCGATCCTTGATTTTTTCCAGAAATTCAATAATAGGTGCTGAAAAGGGTTACCAAATCAAAAGCTCCTTTCTGGACGCCATCTATAGAAATTTCTAGGAATACCCTACCCATACCAAGCATACCAATAAAACGAGGAATACGATAACCCTCAGATGTCGAAACTTGTGCGGGCTAAGGATTAACGAGGTCTTACCTGTTAACGTGTGATTCCTAACACGGTTGCTTCAGCAACAATGGTTGCTTCAGTAGGAAAAGTAACAAATTACAGGGATTTACCTTGGGGTTGAAGGTGACAAACCTTAAATTTCTTATTGAAATCCTATCTTCAGAAACAATCCAGGAAACTCAAGGCTTTTGTCTTGACTTCAACTAGACTTCTCTGATTCTTGAGATCCGGGACACTCCACTGGTAGCCACCTTCAATATAAATAAACTGTTGTGGAAAATATCCTGATGACTCTACGATTAGTTTGAATTAACAAATTCAAAAATCAGCTTTTTGATTAATATCCATGATTATCTCAATCGTTGGAACGTATTATGATAGATGATTCACAAAATTTTTGAACATGTCAATACTACTTGCCCAATATGTGAAGCCAGGCACATAATGGACCCTTTTAAAGTTCCATCCTCCACACATAGAATCGATATCGGTTCAAAGTTCAGGCAATGCTACCACCTGTTCCGTCAGTCCTTCTGAACATATTCAGGGAGCCCACCGATTGTGAGTACGACATTACTGAAAGTAGATATCTCTGTCTGTAACTCCCTTCTCACTCTACTTTTTCACTATAAAAAAACAAGTAAGGTAAGTATACCAAATGAGGTCCACTCAATATTTGTTAGTTATTTTTTAGGNTTTATTCTTCTTTCTTTTTCCTTTGAACAATATCATAGCTGGAATCATTTGTCCTATAGCATTTCCACAACTGACAATTGACACATTCTCAGCATGTTCTTGAGAAATTAAATGAACTCGTTTGACACCTTTACGAACATATACCTGTTGTGAATTATGAAGATTTAGGTGGCAACCTTTCTAATCAATATTAAATATGCGTTTAGGGCTTTGCAGGATATCAAGCTTCAACATCTCGTAGCTTTTCAAAATAGCCATTGACTATGAACTTGTTTAATTTGGCGGCTCTAGCTGGAATTGCGATTTCCTTTTAACAACTTCGGGATGCCGACCTAGAAAAAGTTTGAGCCATTTTCGACCAGCTATTTTTTTATCGGTAAAAGGTGGAGGTATTCCGTTTCGTTGGCAATATTGATGGACAGAACGCCTTATCACTGTAGATGTTAAGGGCATTCCAACATCAGCTAGCCTAAAAATTTTTTCACACAACTCAGATTCTTGTTCAAGTGTTGAACATGAAGGACGGCAAAGTTTTTTTCCGTTTTTCCACTAAGCAAATAATTTCTTAGTGTTCGACGGGCAATATTGAATTCTTTGGCGGCTGTTCTTACTGACATCCCATTTTTGACTGCAAGGTCAAAGCCATTTGTTCTTCAGTTCATAAACCACTGGGCATCTTAAATTTTTTAATAATCTCTCTGAAACAAAGTTCACCAACTTACAAAACGAATTAATGTAGTAGTCCTAACAAGGCCCATCCGTATTATTGCAGTGTTCTTAATAAGGCCCACCCGGGCCTTATTAGCAACACTGACAGTGGCCAATGTTTTTTGGACATTAGAATTATTTACGAAAAATTTACCGGTACCACAGTATAAAAGTAAACACCAGTGAGTTCACTCTCCGCCATATTTGTTCAAGATTCCCCACGGCCGAACTAGAACGCAACCGACTGAATCTGAAACGTTACCAAACTAGCCAAATTGAGGCATGGAATATTATTACAGAGTGAGTCGTTGTAAGTGGTGGTTTTGTATTTGTGAAAAAAGTGTGTCTAGTTTCAAAATAAGCAAGTGTCAAGCTGTGGGTTGCTGTGATTTGCATGGTGATGTCGGCATTCATTTTTTTCGATTTCCAATTGACGAAAAAAGTATGTTTTTGTATTATTTATTATGTAACACTGAAGCGATGAACATATAACGAAAATCATAAAATAAATTGTTATACACCATATACAGTGAAGTCATTATTATGCAGACTTTTTATTATGAATTTAATTTGATGAAATTGAACTTTACGAATAATATATGCCTTCAGTTCCACTGGAAATCCACAAAGGAAAATAATTGTTGAACCACATCAAGTTTTGATTTGTATCTGTAGGAAAACAATGACTTCCACTGAAATCTTTGCAAAACCAAAGTATCAAATGTATATTCAAATAATCTTTTTTGGAGCCTACTTTCCATTTATATGTTCCAGATAATCTACTATAAATAGCGAATATGTCTTTTCTCAGATTCTGTCATCAATAACAAAAAACATTAGAATTTCATTCGATTGACACACTTCATAATTAGCAAACTAGGCAACCCAAAACTAAGAAATCTGTATTTTATATTGAAGTTTTGATTTACAACAACTAACCCAATAATATAAAAAAAAATATTTCAGAAAAACAATTCAAAGCAAAATGAAATTCTGCAAAAGATTTTGTAGCCATGGCAAAAAGCATACATTCGAACTGGAAACAGCCTGTTGCATACTTTTTCACCAATTCATCCACATCAATACTGGACATAAAAAGTATTATGATTGAAGCTGTTAGGCAAATATCAAAAATTGGATTAAGAGTTAGGGGTATCATTTCAGATTTAGGTTCTAATTTTTATAAACTTTTGATACTCATCTGCTGAAATGTAGCAGAAACCAATTTTTCCATGACCTTTTGAAATTTGATGAATTTACAATGAACAATAGTCATCTTGGACTATGAACATTCTTATGGAAGTTTCAAAAAATCCCTATAAACCTTTGAGAGTAGAGACAAATGATTATAGAACTCTAGCCACTCCAGAAGGCAACAGTTTGGGCTATGTTTGTGGATATCTTTTGAGAAATTGTTTAAGAAAACATTCATGAGAAGTATGTACAAATTTTGCCACGGCGACTGGTACGACACTGAATGGAACAAATGTAGGTATATAGTCATTTCAAGGCATAGTAATACAGTAGCCAAACAGTTTGGAAGTTTATATATGCCTCCAGATTCATTTTTACAATGTATCGTTCATCTAGAGACAGAATTTCTTAATCATTTCAACAATTTATGTGCCACTGATTGTGATTATTTTCCTTTGGATTATTTATATTCTCGTTTCACAAGGGTAAGAATTTATTATACTTTGAAATATGCCAATAGAAATTTGAAAACTAATGTTACAAAATATCAAAAACTCATCATTCTGAAAAACCTTTAAAATATATTAGCATAAGTTTTTGACCTAAATTGTATAATCTCACTATATAAAATATACGTTTATTTCACAACCTTGTTTTATTTTTTATGAATTCCTAAACAGTTCACAATCATATGAGACATTTATTGGGAGCTCCTCGTAGCAATGATGAAGTCAGATCATGGTCACATATTTTTTGATCGAACCTCGTGCAGAGGTGCACAACGGCTCTTAGCCGACACCCTCCTGCCCCGCCACATGCCAGAAAAAAATGAAATTTCGACCCGAAACATCGAAGAGACCGACGGGAGTGAATTTACTTCTGTTTCACTGAAACAGTGATGAAAAGGTAACTTTACTTTATGAACGTGCCTTTTTTCCTCCGCGGCTGGCTCTCGAGTTAGTTTCTTTATGTTCAGATTGTCTCACAAACAGTATGAAATGAATAGTGAAAATGAAAAAATAGAATGTAATAACGTTTGCTTTTCTCTGTTAAAATATAGAAACCAATAAGAATCGTTCACTATTGTTTTTCTGAAGTTGGTAAAACACGGCAGCATCACATGGCTGAAATATGATTTCTGAATGATGATGTTGTCCAAGACTTGCTATCATTTTGACAATTTTTTGCTTTTGCAGCTCGAAGTCCCATTTACACTCACCTATCAGCATCTCTTCAAGGCCTGACCACCATAAGGGCCTTCAAAGCCCAGGAAATACTCAAGAAAGAATTCGACAANTGCTGCTTTTTATATGTATTTGGCCGCTACGAGAACTTTTGGCTTCTGGTTGGATCTACACTGTGTTGTTTATATTACTTTAGTATTGATTGCATTACTATTCGTCAAGAGCGGTATGTATTTTTTGAAAAATGCTTTTGTAATAATAGAACGAATAACAATAATCAAGTTGGGACATTTTGAACCAAATTTACTCATTTATAATCGTTTGTATTGAAATGTATTCCATCAATATTTTTTGAAAAAAAAGTGAAATATTCCAATATGAAAATTGGATGACTTTTCAGTCATCCGAGGTATAATATTAAAATTGGTATAGATCATTGAAGTGAATAATAAGTTAGTTTTGAAAATCGTAAAATATTGGTATTATTACGTAATATCATTTGATTGTTTAAGTTGAGTAATCTCCAGAAACACTCGTGTTTGCACAAAAAATTTGCAGAATAAAACGTAACATTGGTACGTTATCAAGTATATGAACAAATTCATGAAAGAAAAGTTATATGAAATGGCGAAAAATCAGGAGGAATTCGAAATAGAATAATTTGATTTCGTAGATGCCATTTGAAATCATTCAATAAATTATTACTTGTCAATAGACATGTATTATTTCAATTTCTGTTTCGAACATATTTACCATGTAATTTGGCAAACTGCTATAATCTTAATTCTAGTCAAGTGCAATGTTTTTTTCATTGGTATGGTTCTCAAATGATTCAATTGTCTGGTGAGATAATCGTGACTGCCAAAAATAATACGAAATATTTCAGTAATTA